TCGTCCCCTGACCTCCCCGGGGCCCCCCAGCCAGTGGGTTTGGCTAAAATTGTGTTCCCCAGCCCCAACCTGGCTTCTCTGCCATCTCTTGCCTGCCGCCAGCCCAGGCACAGGGTTGGCAAAGCCCTGCTATGGGCCTGGGGACGTGTGACAGAGGGCGTACTGGGATCCTGTGTCAGCATACAGCCACTGCCCCCCCAAAGGTGGCTCTGCTGCCTTGCTCCCGGTCACAGCATCAAGGGGTTGAGTTTTTCTGCAAAGCCTCTGTCCCTGTGAGGCTCTCGGTGTCTGAACCCCGAAGTCTTTGCTACAGAGGAGGGCTGGGAACATAGCCTGGGGGCTGCTGGACTGTTTAGGGAGCAGACAGCACAGGAGAGCACTGCCGCCTCCCTGCCTGTGCTGCTGCCTGCTCCTGCTCCTGCCTGCAGCAGCTGCTGCCCTCTCCTGCTCCCACGCAGAAATGCTGCCGGGTGTCCTGGCAGCCCTAGGACGGGCTTTTCTCCTCCAGTATCTGTCCCCTGCCACGCTCCCCATTTAAAATCCAGCACCATCTGTGCAGAGGCTGAGGTTGCCACCACCCTGGGGCTGTCACCTCCCCTGGGTCAGGCGTTGCAGGTGTCACCCAGGGGTGCCTGTCCCTACCACGGTGATAGCATTGACAGCCCCAGCGCAGGAGGCAGTGGGAAGAGCAGGAGCATGGGACAGATGTGTCTGTGGCAGCGTCACCCCCTGGCAACAGACGAGGAGCACGACCCCAGGCGTGGGCACTGCCTGCTTGGACCAGGCTGGACCACCTCCATGTCCCTGCCCCAAGCCCTGCCACCCCCATGAGCCTGGACCCTTGCTGTGCCCTCCTGCTGTGTTTGCAGCTATCCCCGCGGATGTGGGGCTCACCTGGGACTGGAGTGCGATGGGGTGTCTCTGCTGGCCAACATCTGCCCAGATGTGCCTGACCACAGGAGGTGGCTTAGGATGTGAAAGCATCTACCGCTGCTGCCCAGGTATGGCTGATGTCCAAGCCCAGAGCTCCTCAGCCTCACAGGGACAGTTTCTTCTGCTAATGAAGCAGAGATGGGTGGTTAATGCCTGCTCCCAGGGCTTAGATTTCGGATGTCTTTGTTATCTGGGTGCTTGTAACCCAATCTCCCAGGCCTGGCTTCTCAGCAGCAGATCCGATAGCACCCATCCCTGAAAGGTGAGACTCTTCCCCCTGCCCCCGCCACCAGCAGCTGCTGGGACCTGGCTGGGGAGCTGCTGGTGGCTCAAGCTGCTGATGCTCCCCACAGGACTGCCACAGCCCCCTGGGACAGCACAGCCCTTCTGCCACCACCCCTGAGGCCTTGGGGGAGCACCTGAGGACAGGTAGGGATGGGGGAACTGGGAAAAGAGGGGTACCCATGTACACCAAAATTCTTGAGGTCACCCATAGAGAGGGAGTGGAGTTTTGGTGGCCT